ATAGGTTTTATTTGCGTTTTGATAATTCTCCTTTTTCTTCTTCGAAAAAATACTTCATAATAACAGATAAACAGAGAAATGAGCTATATTCAAATATGTATCTTCATAAAGTAAAATAATAATTGCTACGATAGATCGCCCATAGTGATTATCCGATTCACCACGCCCTGCAAATTAGTTTTCGAATACATGCAATATAGTTAGCGAGCGTGGTGAATGGTCTGTGCATTTTATTCAAATTTACAAATATGTAAGAGGAAACACTGTTGCAGTACATAAAAGCTCGAGCAATCAGTAGTGCACTATTATGTCAATTCTAAAATAAGGAGGCTCAACAAATAAACTGAACAACAACTGAGCCGTCGTTTTTGGAAATAAAAAGCATCGAATCGGCCAAATATTACTTTCAAATCAGTCAGAAACGGATATTTCAACTAAAACAATCTGTTTAAGCGTGTTAACAAAATATGAATCCGTTCGAACTCGTTAAACTTCAATTCGTGGAAATTCGTTAAATTTCTTAGAAGCATGTTTAACGGGATCTAACCGGCCACCACTCGAAAAACACGTTATCACGCGGTATATTTGAAAATTTAACCAGTTCAAACGCATTTTTTGAATAAAAATTTTTATTAAAAAGTTCTTTTCTTAAGTTTCGAAAATTAAATTTGAATTTTTCCATTTTAACTTTTGACTTCTAAAAACTGAAAAGTAGCAAATCTTGTCCAGTTGTTTACGCTTGTTTGACTAAAGGACTGGCCACATTACACGATCTCCCACAATAAAAGATCCCCTAAATAGAAGACCCCTCTTGAACTTATCTTGGAAAGGTAGATATTAGAGACCCCCTCCTACTCTTCAGTTTTTTACTTGTAAGTCTTACAAAATTCATAGTGAATATTTCCCATTGAAAGTAAATTCTCTTTTGCACTGAGAGCACACATAGATGTGCGCATGGAGAAGCGAGAAAGGGTCATTCTGCGCATGTGATAAGATGACAAAATGTATCTTATTTCTTTCGTTCATCAACTGTCATAAAAACACAATACATGTGACAAGAAATCTGTGGAGTCGAATGAAAGAAAAAAACGCTCTATGACCACTATCCTCGCATTCTTTCATAATAGTTTGTCTCTTCTTGACCCGTAAGACTAATAATTGGGACAAATTCAAATCTGCTCAATAAACTTGAAAAACAGCTGTCTTTTCTGGACACAATAGAATACCTCCTAAAATCTTTATTCTTAAGGACAGAATGGAAGACCCACAAAGAAATCTTTTATTGTACCATCCCCCTTAGTATACAATTGATTCAGAACGAAGATCGTCGAGATGCGCAAAAATTAAGGCTGAAGAATATACGATTTTTCAACACAAATTTTTGCACTTTTCTTTTAAAAAGTTCATAATGCTTCAATCAAACATTACTATTGGCTGAAAACTTGGATAACTTTAGACGGAGAATCGAATGCACATAGTTATATTGAAAAACAAATTTTAATCATATTATGTGTTCTTGATGCACTTATGGAACGTCTCTTAAGGATTAAATACTAATCGAGAATTTCTATGAGATGATTGGGTCTAGTGAATTTGTGCTAAGCAAGCTTCCTTTATTCATGTTAAAAAAAAGTAATTACATCTAAAAAAGATTGTTAAACTTTATAACAAGAAGAACTAAACGGAAATGTTGATGGTAAAAGTTTTAATCGATAATGTGGCGGACAACTACCTGACCCTGGAGAATGATCGTCGCAACTTACAGTGAATGAAGAAGAAGTAAACTGGAACCCGCATAATGTTCCACGTGAATCGAGTTGTTCGTTCTTCATTTTCATACACGTAAATAATGTTGCATACTGATGTACCCACTCGAATGTTTCATATCCTGTTGGACATGCTTTATCAATAGGGTTTCTATCTTCACACAAAATTTCTGCAACATAACCATTGCTTAAGCCACACAGAGTGCCTGCTAAACCCGGCAGATTGTTTGTAAATCGTTGAAAATGTAGATGAACAGGGTTTGCAGGAACAGAAAATGTAAAAATATGTCGATAGTTTTCACTTTGGCAAGCATTAACTGGCTTAGCTGAACTATAGGGCGCATTAATACAAAGTGTACCTTCTAATCCTCTAATTTCCTGTGAACAATCAATACCTGAATAACCTTGATTACAATGACATTGACCAAAACCAAAATAATTTGTAGTTATACAATGACCATGTATTCTACTTGTACAGTCATTATAACAATATAATTTTGAATGTTGTTGAATATACTTCCTTAATGTATTTTCAATTAATATCGATTTATTTTGGATTAATATATCGTCAGGAAAATGTTGTTTAGTTAATAAACCAAGTATCGATTTAATATTAAATTTAATTACAACTGGATTCAACTCAACAGATTTTGACCAATCTGTCAATGATGATTTTATTAATGATGCGTCTCCACCCAGTGTACTTTGATCTTTATTTTTAACATAAGATTCCATAAATTCATCATGTTCTGTTATATTTAATGATGGATCTTCATCCATATGATTAACTGATCTAAGTAATTCAAATTTGGCTTCGTTACGGAGATTATAACCGTAGTTTTCTAATGCTGTTTTATCGTTTTTACTTAAAAATAATGTTTGTTGTGCCATTCCACCTAATATAATTGTTGTTATATATGAAAAACCGAAATAATTAAATACATAATCATTAATATAGTTTTCTAGCTCATCTTGATCATAGGTATCAGCGCAACATGGCATTTGTTCAATAACATAACGAAATTGATTTGATAAATTCATAAATGGTTCAAATAGTGATAATTTCATTAAACTTATTTTAACAGTCGAATATAATATTAGCATATTGGATTTAATTGAAGATCATACTTTAAGGACATACAAGTAAAAAACATTAGTTTTTTAAAAACGGTAAAACATTCTTTGTTAAAATCTGTCAAATACAGCGAATATCGACTGCATATAAAGCGTTGATCGAAACGAGTCAGATCGAAGTTAAGACTTCTCCTCTTACATAGGCATGCGCCAATACAATATACTGGGTCCCAACATATGGGGTTTCTTCAGTACTATTGAGTATTGGATCGCTTAAGTTAAGCCTACTTTTATGAATGTAAATATTAAGGTTAAAAAAATGGTATGTCGACTCCTATACGCGCGACGCTAGGGCACCAATATTTGGGCGCCGACACCTGGGTGTGCGCTACACTAAGACGCAACGGCATTCGGTCGCGCAATGTATTACACAACATTTGGGCGCACGATATTTCGGCGCAACGACATTTGTGCTTCAGAATTTATGTTTTTATACACATTTAGATCCCTCCTCTTCCACAAGTAGAATACATGGTCATTGTATAACTACAAATTATTTTGGTTTTGGTCAATGTCATTGTAATCAAGGTTATTCAGGTATTGATTGTTCACAGGAAATTAGAGGATTAGAAGGTACACTTTGTATTAATGCGCCCTCCTCCTCGGATCTGTGGTCAGAAATGTCGATTCGTCGTAATGTCGGTGTATCGATTAATGGGTACTATTGAAAAATAGACTTGCACTCTATGGTCACTGCGTCCAAATGTCATTCGCGCTCTAATGTCTGGTAATCAAGTCCACTGTCTTCCAGCTTTTTCGGAATGCATGTATGATAGGATAATGAATCAGTTGATGCGATAATATAAATAATATGTCATAGAAGATAAATGTAGGTAAGATTCTTATTCTCTTCTTAGTATTTACAATTTCGTTTCTGTCGTACTTGCTTCTCACAAGCTTCACTCAGTCGGCTTCCAATCTTCGCAGAGCGCAGTTGGCATCCAGTTCTTTCTTTCTTTCTCTATTCCTCCAGAGCGTTTTTCTGCCCGCGTTATGTCTGATCGTAAAGGTTTGAGAAAAAGATGATTCGAAAGTAGAGACCTCAAAGATGACACATCTGAAGTTAGTTTTCGGATATTTGCTTTGGTTATCCTATAATCAGTGGTACAAAATGAGTATATTTTTCAGAAAACTCCATTATTTTTCCTATGAAGGCATATTCAGCTATTATCATATAGATTGACATACACCAATACCAATCATTATTGAAGATATTGTACAATATTAGTGACTATCCAATATTATTGTATACCCAATATATTGAGATCCAATATATTCAGGGTTCGTAATAGGAAAAATCAAAAAGTAGGAGTAGGAGTGGTATTTTGAAGTCCGTTATGATAGGATTTAAATCAAAAAGTAGGTAAAGTAGCTTTTAGCTTTTAAGAGAAGCTCCGCCGCAGCAGCGACCATGCTGTCTGGGGGTATTTTTATTTATGTCTTATTCGAAAGAGCATAAGGTCTGCAGTAACTCTTTCAGAAAGCGCTTCTTAAAAAAAACTAAGAAAACACTCTGGTGAGGGTCACTCTTGTTACCAAAAAACGTGAATTTTCACAAATTTTCGTATTTTCCGGTTTTCTGAAAAACCATCAGACTCCTATGATTTGTTCATGGCTTTTTTTCCAGAATGATCTTAAATCTTTTTTAAAAGGTAGGTGTCGGCACTTCCCAGATTTCTCCACAACTTTGAATGCTAATGTTCTCGGATTAATCTTAAAGTGTAGTCAAGAATTGGTAGTACAGCTTAACAGAGTCGAATGAAGTTTGTCTAATTTTAATTTTTATGATGAACGAGACTTCTGTTCATTAAATAGTTCAAAGTTCGTCCCTTTTCATAAATGACTAATAATTTGTGGTATTAAGTCATAGCAAGAGATCTGGGATGTGATCAGAAATCCGCCACTGCACTAGGGAGTTCAGAATGCTTTTCTCTTACTTGCACACAAATGAATAACCAATAAATTCTCATAGTAGGTGGAATCCGGAGCTTGTAATGATAGGAGGTAAAAGTTGTAACAAAACATGTGTACAAAACCAGATCCGTAAAATCCGTTGGCGTATATTGTACGCGTTTCCTTCGCTTACAATTTTTTCATTCTTTAATTTCTGTTCGTTTTCTCTTCATCCCTACCATTCTTCCTTTTTATTTTGATCGTCTTTGTTTGATAACATCGTATATTGTCAATCATATATTTTGTTTCAAATGAATTCCCATATGTAAAGTAAGTAAAATTATTATCATATTTTGATTTTTCAATATCAATACTAGACATCGTTGCATTATGTAATTGTTCTACAGTATCAATAATTTCTGCATCCGGTGATGGTAAGGTTGTTGACGGATAACAATCGAGACGTACATGCTGAGGTATTAATTGTGCTGTACATGATCCACTTGCTATTTGTTGATAGTTTAAGTTAAAAATTTCGTGTTTAAAACCTTCTAATTGGCATAAACCCGAATAACATGTTGGATTTCCATTAATCGGATTATAACCAAGACCTAATTTATCCGAATTTTGTACATACTGTTGCTGATTTAAAACTTTTACCATGCGTTTAGATCGTAAGTGTGTTTCTGATTGAAGATAATTTTTAACACGATTACTAATTGCAATATATTGATCATGTTTTTGATCGGCAGAAACTACTACTGATGAAATCAATGATAGAAAGAAAATGTTCATCTCTCTTGTTTCTACTAGATAAATGACTGGGTAAGTGATATAATTCTATGCCTTATATAAACCTTATATCACAAATATTTATTATTTATTATTGACGCTAAAAACGCTCTTGTCTAAATTATGTACTTCATACAGAAAGAAATGAAATATAATATCTCTTTCATGATATTTATATATATTTGTGTCGATTATTAATCCGAATATAATATATGTTATATTTACTGTATTTAAGTAATACAGTAAATATTTTTTACTTGTTGTCTATCATATTTCTTTCAGATTGCAGTATTCTTTTTACAAAAGAATTTTAAATGGAACCAGAATAATATTTCCTTCTTCAACTGCGATTAAAAATTTACACAGTGACCGTCGTTTTCTTTCTTCCGCATTTCGGGGAATTTGATAATCGTAATACTGAACGTTTGAGGCCGATGATAACTGTTAAATGCTTGAATATTTATCGAACTGCTGAAGAGTAATTATTTCTCTATTTCTGTCGACTTCTAAATTTATACATAAAAACTATTTTGTTATCGTGAATTATATTATGGTCAATTTAGTTTATCAAACGCACTACGTAGTTTTTCCCTACCTTTCCATGGCAAAATCTTGTAATTAATTTAAGCAAATACTGCATTTTTCAGTAAAAAGCGACGTCGCTTCATCAGTAAGAAACCGGTCTTCATCAGATTAAGACAGCTCTTTATGCTCACTCTACTGTATATATCGAAAGTTAGAATTTTCCTTTACCAAGATATCAACTGACAGATTAAAACATCCACCTATAACAAACCCACGCAAAAACGACCCAATTTTTTGGGTTATTTATCTAGATTCAGCTTCCCGTACATCTAGATGCACGTGGAGCCGAATCTAGATAAATAACCCAAACAATTGGGTCGTTTTTGCTTGGGAACATACTTCAATATTGGTGAAATAAAATCCAAACTCAACAAATAAAAGGAGTTATTAGCAACGACAATTCAAAGATTTCTATGAGTAATTCATAAAACATCGAACACAATCAAACCTTTCTTTGCAAATAACGAAGACAGAATGCTCTGAAACAGAAAAGTCACAGATTACGTACAAAACTAGCTGCAGTGTTTGTCGAGCCATTAAGGGCCCGCCCAGAAATACAATCTTTTTTAGGTAAAAGGTTGATATTGAGCTAAACACATCATCAGATAGCCCACGCTGTCTACTATCAGAATCCATAGTTATTTCTCTTCATCGAAGGGATATGAGGGTTTTTAGAAATCTTTTCTGAATTACTTTAAAAACTGACTACTCGAAACATTTTACCTTCCGATAAAACTACAAATCTAAAAGTATTTTTCAATGATACTATTAATAGGATGTAGAGTAAACACTTCTGATCAAAACGAGACATCTCCCAGCTCCGGATGATGTTCTAGTCAAAAGTTATGAGCGTTTCGCTAAAAGCCTAAAATGAGCACCCAACACTGGCGCTACCATATCTCGAAAGCAACGTTCACCTTGACACCATTTCGTAGTTGCAAGGTTTTCCAGTAATGAAATATCGTACTTTGACAAAACTACAATATCGTAGCCTCGAGTTGGTCTTGTTGTTCCAAATGTTGTTCCAGAGGATGATAAAGAGCAGTTGTTCGATTTCGAATGCCCATGATTTTTAAAGTTTCTCGAAAAATCTCGGCAACAAATTACGCTCCGTTATCAGAAACTATTTTTATGGGGACACCATGACGGCATATGACTTTGCCATGCAAAACTTGTGCGATTTTTTTCGATTTTATACCCCCTAAAGGAAAAGTTCTACCCATTATGTGAAATAGTCGATAACAACTATAATATAGGCATTTCCTCAGGGAGTTTTTGGGAGAGGACCGGTCAAATCGGTCCCGATTGTACTCCACGGAGACTGAACTACGTGGGATCGCATTAAGCCAGCCTTCTTTTCATTTGCAGCCTTAAAACGCTGACATAGGTCGCAAGATCTTACATATTGTGCAGCGTCGCGGCTCATACCGTCCCAAAAGAAGCGAATCGATATTCGATGTAGGGTTTTTCGGCGTCTAAGATGACCTGAAACTGGATGATCATGGACTAATTTAAGAATCTCAAGACGTTTTGATTTAGGAACAACTAGAAGATGTGGGCTAAGATTGTTTTTAAGAGGAGAATCTTCTTCAAATTTTCGGACCCTGTATAATTTCCCATCAATAACTCTATGGGTTTTGGCAAGATTTTCGAGTTTTTAATGTGAAACTTCATCATCAGGCTGAATATCATCCTGAATAAATGAAATAACAGAGCTGTAATTTTTATCTTGGCGTTGAGCCAACTTTATATCATCTAAAATATTACAATGGTCCCAAAGCTTAATAGCAACTTCTTGACTTTCTTCTAGAGGACCGATAAAAATGCCATTCGTTTGCAGGACCGCTACGACCTTAGATTTTAAAAGGTATCTGGAAAGAGTATTAGAATTGGCATTACCAGGACGGTGTTTAATAATCATGTCGTAGGCATCGAGTTTCATAGCCCATCTTGCTAGACGACTTGTAAGATCTTTTATGCTTCTCAGCCATTGCAAAGATCGATGGTCCGTCCAAACTTCGAATGGTCGTCCTTCAAGATAAGGTCTGAAATGCTGCGTACCCCAAACAATGGCTAAATACTCACGTTCAGGCGCTGAATACGTTCTTTCACAAGGCTGCAAAGTACAACTGGCATAGGCTATTACATGTTCCTGCCCTCAATATTTTGAGCGCGGACAGCACCAAGACCACAGTCACAGGCATCCAACTGTAACATAAACGGATAGTCGAAGTTAGGATAAGTGACTATGCAGAAATCAGCCGTTCTTTTGATAATTCAAATGCCTGTTGACGTTTGGGCGTAAACACAAAGATTGGGTTGTGTTTTTCTCCAATCGAGTCAAACAAAGGCTCAGTAACTTCTGCATAATTTTTAATAAAACGTCTATAATAGCCAGTTAGTCCTAGAAAAGCACGGACATCCTTTGTTTACTAGGAATAGGAAATGATCTTACAGCCTCTAACTTTTACGGGTCTGGTCTAATTCCTTGCGCGCTTACAATGTGGCCTAAATATTTAAGTTCTTGATGGCAAAAGAAACATTTTGATGGTTTTAAAGTGAGGCTACTGGTTTTAATGCGTTTTAGAACATCATCTATGTCTTTAAGATGTTGTTCAAAGGTTGGTGAATATATTATCACATCATCAAGGTAGACCATGCAACAGCTTCATTTCAAACCTCGAAGGACAAGATCCATGAGACGCTGGAAAGTCGCTGGTGCATTAGTCAGCCCAAATGGCATCACATTAAATTGACAGATACCCTCATGTGTGACCAAAGCTGTTTTTTCTTTCTCATCTAACTCGACTTGCCAAAACCCTGATGAGAGATCTAAGGTGCTGAAATATTTCGCACCTGTTAGGCATCGAGCGTATCATCGATTTTGGGAATCGGATACGTGTCTTTCACTGTGACTTCGTTAAGTTTGCGAAAATCAATGCAGAAGCGAAGTGTTCCGTCCTTTTTAGGGACAAGAGTTACAGGACTGGCCCACGGTCCGAAACTAGGCTCGGCAATATCATTATTCAACATTTCGACCGTTTGTTTAGTGCATGTTGCCTTTCTTTCAGGGTTTAATAATCGGTAAGAACCCTGTTTGATCGGTCTAGAATCACCAACATCAATATGATGTTTTACTACGTTGGTACGGCCAGGTTTTGAAGAGAAAATGTCTGAATATTGACGTAGCGATTGCCTTAGTTGATTTTCCTGATTTACGGAAAGCTCAGCTGATGTTAAATCGAGTTTTGAGAGCCAATCACCAGGATTATGTGTAGTAGTATCTGTAGTATCTCTTGTTCTAGCGATTGGCTGTAATCGTTCTTCGGCCCTTACAGCTGAAAGTTGAGAATCGACTGGTTCAAAATCCGCGAAATTTGTCCTCTTCGCTAAAGGATGTACTGATACATTAGGGAAAGTTTCTGACCTTTCATCTGTACTCTGATTCTTAAAAACAGAAAGAACAGAAAGCGAGAATAACGAACCAAAATCTCCTTCTCCAACATCTGTATCAAATTTAATTTTTGCTTTCGAATTTTGAATGAATAAATACGATGGATCTTGTTGTTGAAGCTTCTTTCTGATCTTATCAATATAAGCATCTAACTTTTTGTCCGCAATAGAATGAGAAGATGAATTATCTCCGTCTTTTAATTTAGCCTTCGGTGATTCCTGTGAAATATTTGTAAATGTATCATCAACTCCATCAGGTTTTTGTGCACAAGAAGCAGAGGAAAATGGATCAAAATACGCTAGCTTTTGCCCACAACGGATGTGAGTCCATCGTGGGGTCAGATTTACAATCATCACGCTGGTTATATCTTTATCAACAGTAACAATACTGTTAGCTGTCGCTAAACGTGTACCAATACATGTTGTAGTCGCTTCCCACTTTCGATCACTTATTTCTGGTGGCGTCCTAACAGAGACAAAAGCTTGATGAAAGGGAGGCAGTCTTTTCTTTTCTACTGCATAGACAGGAATGTCTAATCTACCAGATTGATGTAAATCAGTAGAAAGAAGGAATTTTGCTAAAGGCTTGTCCCTTAACCAATACCTTCGATCCTGAATATCCAGAACTAGGCCTATTTCAAACATAAAATCAGTCCCTAACAATAGTTTTTGGTTGAATTTACGTTCGTTTGTTTGCTTGGTTTTAAGCCGCTTCGCATACTCGCATTGCGGTCTATGTGAGTCACGTATTTTTTCAAGTGTCTATATTAGAATCTATTTGTATGTATCAAGAAAGCACTTATTGTATTGTAAGGTGCCGCTAAGGCAAAAACGGAGCAGATTCAAAAGTAGTCGAATCATACACCATTCAATAGCCCTGACAATTCTGATCTAGGGTCTTCATGATCAGATTTCAATTTGGGTGAAATTTTCAGGTTGAAAACTTCAAAATACGAGAAGCCCCGAAAAAGTGTGCTTTTGCACATGTTGAGAAAAACGAGAATATGAAATCGTCGTTTGTTCGAATTCAGTTTTAAATGCGATATTCGGATTTCGGATTCAGCAACTCAAGCTGCATCGATTCATGTGTGATTCAAGTTTCTTTACACACTCAGTGAAAATCAGGAAAATCCGAGATTTGCCTAACGAACTTTTAGCACCTCATCTTGCAACTGTATCTCCTCCTACAGCTT